TTAAGAACTTTGGGTTGGCCATCCATTTGAGAATGATAGGCTATAGAAAGATGTCGTTGAATACTTAAAATTTGCAAAAATTCTTTCCAAAACCCACTTACAAAAATTGGATCATGATCAGATATAATTCAGCAGGAGCACCATGTAATTTATACACAATTCATAACAACCTTTGCTAAGGAAGATGTTGAATAACGATGAGTCAAAAGAATGAAATGTGTATACTTACTCATCTTATCTATTAAAACCCAAATCATCTGCTTACCATTAGGTTTAAGAAGTCCCTTAGTAAAATTCATAGTAATACTTATCATTAGTTCTGATACCACTATTAGATGTTTGTAATTTTAGAGTAGATGAGTATAGAAGAAGGTAGGTAGAGAGAAGACAGAGAAGGGTTGAGAGAAGAAGAGAGACGAGAGATTGGAGAGTGAAGAGATAAAAGAGAGATGAGGACTTCTTAATAATATCAAAATCTATTAATTTGTCAACAACAACAATACAATTGAATATAAAAATATTTATAAGATCTCAAATACCTCTAACAGTTATTAATTAATGGCTATAACTAACTACTTAATGTTATAATTATAAAAACATAACATCAAGTAATCCAAATAAAATTTACAATATAAATCTATAAATAACAATCAAAGTCTATAACATACCCCTTATTATACCAGATAAATTAATCATAGAATCATTAAATTAACTACTATGGTAGAAAAGAGAAAAATATTTCATAAATATATCATAGTAAAAAAGTGGGTCTTTCTCAAAATTTGAAAAAAAAAATAACCATGATAGAAGTAAGTTTAACTAAGCCTTTAAAAATCCTACTATAGTTATAAAATTAACTTAATTAACTTAAAACATTAACCATGATAAACAAAAGTTTAATCATACATTCAAAGTAAACTATCAGAGTTAAAAATAATCAATCTTAACTTCAATGACTATCTATGATAGAAAAGAATTTGACTTAGTTTTAGAAAAAAATTGACATGGAAAAAAATTTGTTTTCAATCAATCACAAACAAAACCATAAAAAATATCCAAACCCACTAACATAGTTAAAGAAAACAAACCCACAACTTCTAGCTATCAAAGCTATTTCAAGTGTTCATAACAAATGGACTTAAGACAATTGAAGCCCAAATCATATCACAACCATAGAGTTCAATTTTTATTCTCAAATAACTTCTAATAAAAATACCTTTTACAGTTTAAAATATCATTGTACTTAAATATTTTAACACATGTGAATCTGCATAAACAATTATAAGTAGTTTCTAAGGCCTCCTACCAACCACTAACAAGCAATTCCAGCAACAGGTAAACAACAATATCAAATACATAACAAATTATTAGAGTATATATGCAAGAGCCTTAAATATAACAACATACAATAATTTAACACATAAACAAAAGAAAAGGCAATACAAGTTGATGCAAGACTAAGCCTCCAAAACCTTTCCCAATGGATCACCATATGAACTTTCACTTATGAATTGTTAAGCAGTGGGGGTGAGACAATATTTTAGTAACCAGTAATTCTACCTACCATACACACTAATACATACTCGTGAGGTGCCAAGTAGGACAATTATAAAACATTTAACCATTTAATCAGTCATCATATGTCAATATATACTAATCATGCATATCACGATGTATGACTCCTAACCACCCTTATATCTTCTAGCTAAACCCATGGGCTAAGTCAATATCCATGTAATGGATGCTCCAACAAGCTCTTCTATTAAGTAGTATGGATCGACCAAAGCTCACAAGACATATAACTAAACCATGGGTTCGCCCATCAATAAATAAAGGGGTGCCATAACCATAAACTAGTCTTTTATTGAATCGGTGGAGACAAATTGGGGTGGTATCCCTTGACAAACAGTAGAATAGTCCATCAATGGACAAGTGGGACATGAGTGGGCTAGCCATCAAACTCTAAATGGCCTTACCAAATGGATTTTAAGTTACTACTGCCCTTAAGATGAACTCATGCCCTCAACATGGTCATACAAACAATCACATACTTAATCACATGTAGTGTATCTCAATTCTCAATTTTAACATGCTTAACACATATAACATAGCATTATCTTGTAAAACCACAATTTAACTCCCAATAATTACATATCCATTTCCAAATCAATCATTCCATTAGTAGTTCATAATAATTTTTCAACACATAAACATAAGTCCCACAAGAAATTTCATATATTAAAGTAGAAATTTTCATAATATAGCTTGTATTCTAATTTCATCAAATGTATCATGAACTTTCCTAGCATGCACAATAAGCAAGAAAGTGATTACCTCTTGCCAAAGCTAATAAAGGTACAACAATTCTTGAGAAGCCCCACGCTTAACACCAAAATCAAAATAAGTCTATATGAGTTATATGGATAATAATTAGCTTACACATAAGCTTACATAAGCTTAAAACTTCAATTATTACCATTTGGGATCAAATATAATTTTAGATTTAATTTCCAATCATCGTTTAGGCACATCAATCCAACTAAACCTTACTTATAAATTTCTAATCTTCAATTGATCGCAACTCCAAGTTTTCATTACTCAAACTTTGATCCAAAATAACTATATTCACTAATGGTCAACAAAGTTAATAATACTATGAGGTAACATTTCACTAAAAGTCATAAATTTTACTGTCAAAAATTTAAAAACGAAATGGAAGAAGGTAATTAGAAAAAATATTTAAAATGTTTATCTACTTTTAAAAATTCTCGAGCCACACTCTAAATATCATATAATGGATCATAGCTTTAAAAATCTTTCACTCACACTCTCTCGCACACGCCATTGGACAATGAAGCAGTAGAGCACTGCAAGGGAAGGGGGAGTATGTTGGATTTGGATGAGTGTTCGGAGTTAAACATCCAAGTGGATCCCACATGTATTTTAACATTAATTTTTTTTATTATTTTTTTCCAAAAATCTTATTCTCTCAAATACACTTTGTACTCTCCGGCCTCCTTTTTTTATGTCAATATTTTTTTTAATTTTATTTTATTTCGCTCGGTTTTTTTTCCACATTTGTTTATAAAGTATTTTAATTCTAATTCTCTTCATAATTATCTAGCATTAAGTTAAAAATTATATTCTAGCCTAATATAAATCTCTGCTTGTAATATTTTGCTTAAACATAATTTTCATGATATCCAAATAAACATCATTCCTTTGGTGGGAAAATAATTCACATACACATATTAATCCCGCAAACCTTATAATTAATACTTTTTTTGTTTTCATTTTCTTAAAAAAATCTCAACTTGGATATATTTCCTAAGTTAAGCCTGAAATCATCTCTTAATTAATTTAATTACTTTCAAATCTCTCTCTAACTTTTATTAATTCTAATTGGCTCTTAAAATTTAAATTGAGATGTTACAAAATTCACTCATTTACAACAAATGTCCATTTAGATGAAATAATTGTTCATCAAAAACAATAAATTATCAAGCATGCCAGGACGTTGAGTCTCAATTGATGACAAAAGGTGCCCAAATAATAGTCCATTCATTTATGTCTTGTAGTTGACATGCCCTCTCTACCTGGCCTATACTTTATGGATCAAAGTCTTAATTACTCTGTGGCATTTTCCATGGCAGTTCTATCTGAATCGAGAGACTAGCACGCTAATGTTTAGTTTAGAAGCAAATTAATTCTCAATAATGGAAACCTCTTCAATAATAATAAGTTTTGGGAATAATAATTTTCAACATATCAATCAAGTAGGTCAGGCTTATAATAATCATCCAAACCCATCTCTGATAGTTCCAAACCTAGCAAAGACATGGAAACTTACACAATGATCAAATCTACAAAATGACAACACATGAATCACAACCTAATTCAAAGCCCTGACCCTAGCAAAATGATTGTATGCCAAACTAGTACAAATGCAATTTCAAAATTGTGCAATAATAAGCTCGAGAAATAAGTAGGGTTAAGTCAATTGAAAGTGAAGGGAATGAGTTTATGAAGTGAAGGAGAATAATTTTAATAAATAAAAAAATGAATTAGTAAATCGAACAAAAAGAAAAGTATTTTAAATTATGAGTAATTTAATTTTTTTTCAAAATTAATATCACATGAGACCTTTGGCCTGCAGTATATTTTTAGAATTTATTGGACTTTGAAAGCAACAATATTGCTTTTGAAGTTTTTAAGTGTAATTCTCCCAATCATAGCAGGTTATTGCTGTTGAAATTGAACAGAGCTTTCTACCATTGTTACAACCAAAATGAAGACTTCAAATCAAAGTAATGACGAATTCGAACACCAACCCAAACAGTGCCATTGTTAGATATTGAAGGTCTAGAATGCTACCACTAGAGACAACCACTCTTTTTATTTTCAAAAGGTGAACATGATGAACTTGATATTATCTTATCAAAAGAGCCAGCTAGATTCCCTCTAATTATGAGATGGCTAATTAAGGATTACTAAGATAACATTTCAAAAATTAATATGAAACTTCCACGAAATTCACTTTTATTAAAAATATTGTCTAATTAATATTTTTGTGAAAAAATGATGCTATCATTGAGAATAATATAATCTTATAGCACTATCTACCTACTTTACTTTGATTGAAAAGAAACAATCTCTCTAATATTCTGTTATATTTTTACATGCAATCATTAATAAAAATAATTAATTTTATTAACATCTATTTATTATGACATATTATATTATATTTTTTATTTGTAGCATTAAATGTGTATTTTTAATTATAAAATCAAATTAAGCAAACAAGCAATGCTTATGTGAATAATACGATCTCATTCCTAATATGATAGAGATCATGACTAACACACATATCATCAATCAAATTATTTTATAAATCAAAAGGACATATATTTACTCGTGTATCAAGCTTAATTAATCTAAATCTAAAATGTACTAAAGTCAGTTTTATTTTCTATGTTCATATTTGTGTTACCAAAACAATGAAATGAAATTCAATTTGATGCCACCTTCTTACCAGGGAAGAAGACAGTCAACCAAAGGAGCAGTTGAAGTTGCAGAATGAAGAACCAATTCTCATAACAAACTTCTGCTGTTGCCCAACTCCAACCGACTTCCGAGGGATCGTCCTCTTCGCTCCCTATAGTATACATCACACTTCAGCTTTTTCGCTATCTTCGCTCGCTAAACTGCGCTTTTTTCTAGATTCTCGGTTGGATCTATCTGTCGAATTTTTTTAATTTTCTTTAACCCTAAATTCGCTGATTGCTTTTGATCTTTGAATTCCAAAGCTCAATTGTGGAGTTCCTGTCACCAATAGTAACTCGTTATGGCTGCGGTGAAAACTGCTCGGTCCAAGGCTATGCCTGTGAAAGAGAATGGACCAAAGCTCGAAGAAGGTCTCCATTTGTTCAAGTCTGATAAATTCGATGCCGATACCTATGTCCAGACCAAATGTTCTCTCAGCGAGAAGGTTGGTTTTTGTATTTCAATGTAGTGCTGTGTAATTTTCTATTTAAACCACTCATTTTTCTTGGCATTTTGGGAGAAAATTATAATTTGACTAAACAGTTAATTTATGAACTTGGTCGCTTATTTGTTCTGGTTCCATGATTCTAAACACTTCTCTTAGTTCTGTAGACATGATCTTTACGGGCGATTATTCAGTACCATGTTAGTCCTGTCTCCTGAGTTTCATAGGAATTAGGGGCTGGGTAAAGAGAAGAAGGGGGGAGGGGGTTGGCTAAACTCACTTGGACTGTAGGAAAATGTTTTGGAGTATCAATAACGGTTACCGATTATATTGGAGAGTCGACCCTTTTCCTTCCTGGCCATGACGAATTAACAGCAAGATCATACATTCTACTGTCTATAGCCACAGCCCTTGACCAACTTATGTCATATTTTGCAAAAATTTTCAATTTATACACCCGAAGCATAGAATTAGTTATCACAAGTCATTAATCTTTTATTCTCCTTTCAAGCAAATCATCAGATAAATCAATAGATTCATTAGAATAATCCAATATATAATTTCTTCTGACGATTTTTTTCCTTTTAAAAAAATAAAACTAAAAAAAAAAAGAAGAAGAAGGAGAAGGAAATGTGATGGACAAATTATCTTCTAAAAGGAATCTTTGAAGAGCTGTGCTGCAAAAGCTAACCTATAAGGTTGGAGAACCCAGGGTTTGTAAAAACCCCTCACCAGTATACTTACTTCTGATGGTGGACTCAAGTCCCATGCTTTGCAGTGTGCCATAAATTCCACTGCGCCCCACAACCTAGTTATACACACAGGCGAGATAGGGTAGAGAAAACAGGCTTTATAACCCACTGTCAGCCCACAGGCAAGTAAAAGGAAATGAGAGAAGAGGGGAATGGAGGGTAGTAAAAAGCTCTGATTTCATTGGCAGGAACCTTCAGGAGAGCTGTACCTCAAATGCTGTCCATAAGTTTGGAGAGCCCAAGGCCCCAATAAATTTTACTTCCAAATCCATACTTCCCATGTGGGACTTGGGATCTTCATTTTGTTGTTATTTCCATATATTGCTGATTGGACACAATGTGGTACATGGGTATTATTATTATTATTTTTGATATCTGATTAATAGAATTAGAAGCTTAGTTACATCGATGTTGATTATTTAACCATTTAGATACATGAAATTTATTAGAAAATGCACCAAATATTGATTGCTCTCCTTATTTTCCACAGCCTTTTGAATCGCAAAGAAGCAAAAGACCATTGGTTATCAATAATTAACTACCCATGGGAAGGGTTTTGTTTAAAAAAAAAAAAAATTCCACTTCCTTTTAAATTGCTTGCATGAATGCAGATTTGCAATTGTTACTAGGGACGCTCTAGGCTTCATATAGTTTCCATTTATATTTAATGTGCAATGAAGTATATCAAACTATACAAACAGTGCTAGTAATGGCAATAAAAGATAGTCATCGTTTACTTTTTTATTTTATTTTTTATTTTTTTTGTTTTTTTGTTTTTTAACCTATTATTGAAATATTATGCTGCTTGTGTTTTGTTCCCAACTAGTTGAGAAATGTTTTCTTGTTCTCCATTTTCTGTCATGCTTTTTCAATTCAACTGATTTTATCTTGTTCATTTTTACAGGAAATAAAGCAATTATGTTCATATTTAGTGGATTTGAAGAAAGCTTCTGCTGAGGAAATGCGTCGAAGTGTCTATGCTAACTATTCAGCCTTCATACGGTTTGTTGTTTTCCTTCTTTCTTCTTTTATTTGTGACATTAGCAAGATTTGAACTAGAATTATACTTACACCCACCCATCCTTATCACCTTATATTTGTGTTATTGTGTGTATGTGCTGTGTAAAACATGTTCTTGTTTACGTTGTTGGATATTTTAAATGATTACTGAAAAGTTGTTGGTAAAAAGAAAATAATTACTGGAAAGTCATAATTATTATAACCATTTTGGAATCAATATTACATGTTATCTGAATATTGATTCTAGAATATCAAATGGTCACTATTCTGTTGTTTTTGTTTGTGGTAGAAAATTCTTTGCCTTTAGTGCATGCTTTTATTTTAGGGAAAATATCAACTAAGGACCCCTATAACGTTTTAATATCAAAGGACCATAAAAATATGAAATATCACTACACCCTCTTGGGATGTATTTGAAAATAAGATTTTGGGGGAAAAGACCTAACTAGCCCTATGGCGTTTTACAAGTCTTGCTCTGGCCTAAACAACAATACATTCAGCCGTTGACATATTACCATACGTAATTAGCAAGCGGACATTTGTTCATGAACAAGTTACAAAAATTGATAAGCTTGGTTGGATTTTGCAAGTCTTCCTTTGATATAAACAACAAAGCATTCGGATATTGACAAATTATCATGCATAATTAACAAGTGGACATTCGTTCATGAACAAGTTACAAAAACTAACAGGCCTAGTTTAATTTTACAAGTTTTACTCCAATATAAACAATAAAGCATTCGGCCATTAACAAGCTACAATTCGGCTATAAACAATAAAACAAGCTTATAAGTTTTTGTAATTTGTTCATGAATGAATGTCTGCTTGTTGATTACATATAGTAACTTATCAATGGCCAAATGCTTTGTTGTTTATATCAAAGCAAGACTTGTAAAACATCGTAGGGGCAATTAGGTCTTCCTCCCAAAATCTTCTTTGTAGACATGTGTCAGGGAGTGCAATGATATATCAGATTTTTAAGGTCCTTCTTTGATATTAAATGGCTCCTGGGTTCCTTAGATGATATTTTCCCTTTATTCCCCCCCCCCCACCCAAAAAAAAAAAAGGTGGGAGAAAAGGAGGGGGGAGCCTGTCATCATTTTCATTCACTCTGTTTTATTTGGATGTCTATTTACTTGAAAATACTAGTAGTGTTATTTAGCCAGCATAAATATGATTTTTCTTTATATTCAAGTAATCTTTAACTGCAAAACCTTTGCACTGTTGTTAATTTGATTTGTCCTTATCATTTTCCTAGCGTTTAAGCAATTTGCATATGTTACAGCACATCTAAAGAGATCTCAGATTTAGAGGGAGAGCTTTCATCTATCAGAAACCTGCTATCTACACAAGCTACTTTGATACATGGCTTGGCCGAGGGAGTTCACATTGATTCCTCATCTAGCTCCAATTCTGATAGTTTAGCTTCAAATGCTATTTTAGATGCTGAAGATAAGGATACATCAGACCTGGACAAATGGTTAGTTGAGTTTCCTGATCTCTTGGATGTTCTCCTGGCTGAAAGAAGAGTGGATGAAGCTTTAGCTGCTCTTGATGAAGGGGAACGTGTAGTTTCTGAAGCAAAAGAGATGAAAATGCTAAATCCATCTTCACTCATGTCTCTACAGTCTTCCATTATTGAACGCAGGCAGAAATTAGCTGATCAGCTTGCTGAAGCTGCTTGTCAGCCTTCCACCCGTGGTGCTGAACTTCGTGCAGCAATATCAGCCCTTAAAAGGCTTGGAGACGGTCCTCGTGCTCACAGTTTGCTGCTTAATGCCCATTTCCAAAGATATCAGTATAACATGCAAAGTCTTAGGCCGTCAAGCACATCATATGGAGGAGCTTATACTGCTGCTCTGGCACAACTGGTATTTTCAGCGATTGCACAAGCAGCAAATGACTCATTGGCTATTTTTGGTCAGGAGCCATCTTATACTTCTGAGCTTGTGATGTGGGCTACAAGGCAAACAGAAGTATTTTCTCATCTTGTTAAAAGGCATGCATTAGCTTCATCAGCAGCTGCAGGAGGCTTAAGAGCTGCGGCAGAATGTGTTCAAATAGCATTGGGTCATTGCTCGCTGTTGGAAGCTCGTGGCCTGGCTCTTTGTCCTGTACTTTTGAAACTTTTTAGGCCTAGTGTTGAACAAGCACTGGATGCCAATTTGAAGCGCATTCAAGAGAGTACTGCTGCTTTGGCTGCAGCTGATGATTGGGAGCTAGTGTACCCTCCAACAACTAACCGTCAAACTGGTAGGCCTTCAAGTGTATCCACTAGCAGTACAACAGCATTTCAACATAAACTCACTAGTAGTGCCCATCGCTTTAATTTGATGGTCCAGGTGAGTATTTGAGTCTAGTACTGTCTAGCGTTGGTTGGAATACTGCTGTTTGAATATATATACAATATCAAGTATGCTAATTATATTGGATTATGTTTTCTCTTTCAACAAAGACTGCAGTCATGTGTTTTCTTACTGTTCATTTATATAGTCTTATTTGAATTTACAATTCAATCCATTTGTTTGGGAGAGTGATTTGTATGTCTTTTAAAACATATAGATGTTAAATGTGTTAAAACTATCTTTTTTGTTTCTTGTTTATGCAGTTTTATTGATCTGTATTATCTGTTCACTTCAAGCTGGATGCTTTGCGTGGTTATACAGGACTTTCTCGAAGATGTTGGACACTTGCTCAGTATGCAGTTGGGAGGCCAAGCTCTGGAAGGGTTGTTCCAAGTATTTAACTCATATGTGAACATGCTCATTAGAGCGCTACCTGGTTCAATGGAGGAAGAAGCAAACTTTGATGGTTCTGAAAATAAAATTGTACAAATGGCTGAGACTGAAGCTCAGCAGATTGCATTACTAGCCAATGCCTCATTACTAGCAGATGAATTACTTCCACGTGCAGCCATGAAACTTTCTCCCCTAACTCACGCTGCCCACAGGGATGATATTCGAAGACGACCTTCAGACAGGCAAAATCGTCATCCTGAGCAAAGAGAATGGAGGAGGCGACTTGTTGGTTCTGTTGACAGACTAAAAGATACATTCCGTCACAAGCATGCGTTTGACCTCATTTTTACTGAGGAAGGCGATAGCCATCTTACAGCTGACATGTATATTAATATTCATGGAAATGCAGATGAAATTGAGTGGCTTCCTTCTCCGATCTTTCAGGTATTTTGGAAACCTTAATTGTAGTTAATGTTAATTTTTTTGTTTGATAATCTTTTAAAGATGATTCTGCCCCACATCGTCCTTAAAATGAATTTGAGTATTCTTTTTTCTTGTTTTTGCCTTGCATGAGATGTCTTGACTGAGCAGTGTTTCTTCTCTGCCCTCTTCCCCTTTTCCTTCTTCTCATCTTCATGCTGGAAATTGCTTTAGAGCATATAAAATATGAGATTGCTCTAGACGTTGATTACAGAGGCATTTTGATTATAGATTTTGAAATGTTGACGGGCAGTAGGTCAGTAAATTGTGGTCTTTGTTGTAAATAATTTTAAAGAATGTATCTGAAAAAATTATATCTTCTGAACACCTTTGATATCAATTCTTTTAGGATTACTTGACAACTGAGATTGCAATTCATAGCTGGTCAATCCACTTTTAATTCATCTTTTGCAATATGAAATTTTCAATGGTGCTGACCGGGGGGGGGGGATCTTTCTGAGAGCAACTACTTTTGTCATCCAGTTAAGATGATGTGTTATAAAGTGCAATCACTTCCAGAAAACTACTTTAACTGACATCAGCTGGCTGAGTGTTGGATTGCATTTGTATCCTTATGTAGACGATCATAACAGATATGTTGCTATTTAACACGATGGAAATTTTCTGAAGGTCTAGCTTGTTAGTCTCTTGTGTCATTCAATTTGACTCTTTCCCTTGGCAACATCTACCTCTTGATTAGCAGTAGAGTAAGTTTATATGACGTATATTGTCTTTATTTCTTGGTAAGAGACTAGTCAACAATAATTTGGAAGTGAAATTGAGAGAGCAAATTATACCTCAAGTGAAAAAGTTTAGATATTTAGGAGCCATTATTCAAAATGATGGCGAAATCAATGGGAATATTTCACATAGGATTCAAGCTGGGTGGTTTAATTGGAGAAAAGTTAAAGGAGTTATTTGCGACCGTAAGGTGCCTAATAAACTTAAAGGAAAGTTTTATCATATTACCATCAGACTGGCTATGTTATATAGTAGTGAATGCTGGGCTCTAACGGGATAGCAAGAGCAAGTTGGAGCAGCAAAGAGGAGAATGTTATGATGGATGTACGGACATACACGTAAAAATAAAATTCAAAATGAATACGTATGCGAAAAAGGGAGGGTAGCATCTATTGAAGAAAAAATAGTAGAAAATCGTTTGAAATGGTTTGGATATGTACAAAGAAGACTGCGAGAGGCACCAGTGAGAAGAGTGGAACATATAACTTTGAGCTCTGTTAAGAAGGGTAGAGGAAGGCCTAAGAGAAAACTCTTGAAAGTTATTGAACGCGATCTCTTAATTAATAATATTTTTAAAAACTTGGTAAATGATAGAACACAATGGCGTCTTGCAATCCATATAGCCGACCCACCTAATGAGATAAAGGCGGCTTCTTGTTGTTGTTGTTGATTCAGTTCTATGTAGTGGTTGGTTGCATTTTATTATTTTGATGATTCAATGTGTCAACTTCGTTATTACTGTATCCCCCCCGGGATTTTTTTTTTTTTTTACTTGCCATTAATTTGATGAAATAACAAGTGGCAAGTCAATGGAAATAGCAGGTTAGCAGCAGTTAAAGATTATTGGTTAAAAAAAGGGCAGCAGTCAAAGACTGCAACCTCTCCTATTTCTGGGCCATGTGGAATTGATTGTTTGCATCTCTAACAAGTTTGAGAAATCCGTTGCATTAATGCCTCTATAGACATGAACTTGATATCATTGTTCGCATTAAGTTACTGTTTCAAATTACTTTGAACTTTATGTATTACAAAATTACTTGGCCTAACATTTCTTTTTTATTGGGAAAAAAAAGAATTTATTGAGTTGGTTGTTTGGTTATATTATTGATTGATCGTCAGTGGATTATGGAATATCAAATTTATGTAACCAGACCTTCTAATTACCTTCTAACTTCAGACCCACAAAATTAAAAACCATCATCATTGTTCCTGAACTATTTTCATCGATCTTTATGCATTGATTTTTTTATTTTTTATTTTTTATTTTAAAAAAAACTTTGCCCCCTGGCACATTTAATGCACAGGCGGACTTGCTAGTTTATTTTACACTTTGTACGATTCATGGTTTTAAAGATAGTATTATGTTGCTGTCCAGGAACTTTACATAAAACTGAACAGAATGGCCAATATAGCTGCAGATATGTTTGTAGGGAGGGAAAGATTTGTTACACTGCTCTTGATGAGACTTACAGAGACTGTTATTTTGTGGCTATCTGAAGACCAAAGCTTTTGGGATGATATTGAGGAAGGGCCTAGGCCTTTAGGTCCTCTTGGTCTTCAACAGGTATGTAAGACGTGCAAGTTTTTGTTTATGATTGACGAAATAACTATTACAGAATTTTTGAGTCAAATACAGGAAAGAGAGGATGCCTCTACTGGCAAACAGATCTGTAGTGACTAAAGAGAACTTGATTCAGGGATTATTCTTGTAAGAAAAGTCATCAGAAATCAAGGACCTGGTGTTATGTCCTGACTGCCTGTGTGTGAAGAGTATAGTATTTTTAATTACAATTGAGAATAAATAATAGCTAGTGTATTTGGTCGACTAAGCTAGAATAGCATGACATGTGACCCTTGATGAATTTTTCTTTGTATGGTGCTGCTTCATCTGGGCTATTATTCAGTTCCTTTGGGCATGAATTAGTATGGTTAATCAAGCTTATAGACAAAGAAACCGAGCTAGAGAAGTAACTTGAGTATCAATGCTCTCCCTTTGCTTTTGTCCTTTTTTCAATTGCGTTTGCAAATTTATTAATAGACTGAATCAATGCTTTGTCAAAATAAAAGGTGAAAATATTTGATATCCACTCAAATCGATGCCTATGTATGCCATCTCCATTTGCTGCGATATTTAAGATGACGTTATTCTACTACGTTCTTACGTCATTGAGCTAGTAAGAGGCTGACACTATATGGTAAGGATTTTTTGAAGTGGCAGATAAATTGAAGACCAAACTTTACATGATTCATGAGAAGCTTGTAAACTATACAGTCTTATTTAATATCTGTTCATGCCCATGTCTGCCGTGTTTACAAGAAAGTTTATCACAGCCATCTTCTCTTGTTCATTTTGCAGTTCTATTTGGATATGAAGTTTGTCATATGTTTTGCCTCCCAAGGCCGGTACTTGTCCCGGAATTTGCATAGAGTTGTCAATGACATCATATCAAAAGCTATGGCAGCATTTGCTGCTACAGGAATGGATCCATATAGGTAAGCTAATGCAATTCTATTTCACTCATGAATGAGCTACTTGCCGTCAAATCCTTTTTTAAAAAGTAAAAAACGCACATCACTTCTAAAATTCCTCTTCTTAAGAAGCTTGTAAATAATAAAGTCTTGTTTAATGACTGTGTCCATTATTCTGATTATACTTGGGATCTTATTATTGTTCTTTAGACATGTAATTCAGGTCCTTTAGAGTTTATATATCTATTTGCATAATTAGAAATTTAAATTTAAAAAAATTTAACTATGAGTCCTTGTTGACAACTGTACCATGTTTATTGATGTCACATTACATAGCTAGCAACCTCCTGGTTCCAAATTATTTTCTTCATTTTTTTTAAGCAGTATTTTCTTTATACTGAAGAGTTAGGTTATGATATGTTTGTACCTGCCTTTGATGATTGTGTTTCTGGTTTCTGCGATGTACCCTACTCATAGTTGTGGAATTAAAAGCATCTGTCTGTTTCTCAAAAGCTGGTGTAATTGTTGTCGTCAGTGTACTGCCTGAAGATGAATGGTTCAACGAAATTTGTCAAGATACGATTGATAGACTCAGTGGAAAACCGAAGGAAATTAATGGAGAAAGAGACCTTAACAGCCCAACTGCGTCTGTCTCCGCGCAGTCAGTGTCATCCGTCAGATCTCATAGTAGTACGTAAGGCATTGATTGATCCTTGTAAATTAGATCAGTTCCATGTATCATGGATTTGTTGGCATCTGGTAAATGCAGATTTATCTTCTTCCAATGCAATCAGATTGTTTACACGCTTTTCCATTCATTCCCCCCCCCCTTTTTTTGGTTTTGGCTTTTGTCAATTTAATTGGGGATAACCCTTCTTTTGTGTAGATTAAAACTTACAGTTAGCCCATGTGTGATTCCTTTAATTTGTAATATTCTAATGTTATTTTTATCCCATATTCTCCTAGTCTTAGATTTGGTTTTTCTCCATGATGTAAGGAACAAAGTTTCTTGGTCTTTGTGGTATTTTGATATACTGGAAAAAGACTGAAATATCTTTAGCAACTTTTCTCAAAGCTTCAGCTTCACTTGCAATTTCGACCTTCAGCCTTCCTCGGCTCCCAACCTTCGCCATTAAACGTCGCCAGCTGTCGATATGCGATGTTCTCCACTCGCCGCTGTCAGTGTCGCTATTCAGCATTGCATCAGCTCCTCGTGCATCGTCGTTCAGCACTCCCCGTTGGCATTGTCGAGTTCCATATTTGGGTTCTTGTTGAACAACAGGTAATGCAACGGCGACATTGAGTAACGAAGGTTGGGGAGCCGAAGAAAGTTGAGGGTCGAAATTGCAAGGGGAGTGGAAGCTTTGAAGAAAACGGTAGTTCCTAAGGATGTTTCAGTCTTTTAACAGTACGTCAAATTATCACATAAGGTCAAGGAACTTACTTTTCATCTGATAATTTGTTGAGATTAAAGTTGAATAAAATGAACGTTTTGAAACTTAATTGCCATTCTCCCTTTTATTATATTATAAATTAAAAGATTGACAAATAGACTGACACATTGGCTTATCAATATAAATATTATAAATTAAAATCCGACTCTTGTTGATTAAAATTAAACTATTTTTTAAAATTAAACTTATCATTATAATATTACATGTTATGCTTTTAAATACGAATTAAAATTTTCTAATTTAAAATTTAAATTTAATCCTACGATTTAAAATATCCCAATATACCAGAGCTAAAAAATAAATACAAGTTTAAACGAATAGTCAACCTGCCAAACTTGAAAGTCTTTTTTATACTAAAATATCTTAATTTCCAAAGCCCAAACAGGGGGTTGGGAAGGGGGGCAGGGATTAAATGGGTATTTCAATTAACCCAACCGGTGTTACTAGATAGTAGATACGCTCTCGTGTACGTACTGCTGGCAAAGCGAATCAGTCAATCAAGGGTGATTTTAGTCTCAATATTTTCGACTGCCTAAACATACTTGCCTAGAACGCTTTTTTTTTTTGGTCCCCCTCGCTTCAACAACACATGCATTGTTTGTTTTCTTGCTTTTTACAAGACATGCATTGAAATGAATGCCGGTAGATATCCACGTTTTTAGTAATTGAAAAATGGATAAAACATGCCCTTGTGCACAAATTAAGAATCCTCTTGTGCCAATACTAGTACTCTTTGAAAAATATATTTCAAAAAACAAGTCCGCAAAACCACTTTCATTTAGGTATATAGTTAATGTTCAACCAAGAATATAAATGCAGGCAACTTGTGTCAATAAATTCCGTCAAGCATATTCCGTAGTTAAAAGCCAAAAAAAGGGGGAAACGAGAAAATAAACGCTAATAGTGCAATTAATACACGAATGGCTTCCTCCAAGAAATTGCCAAAGTTGCTAGTGAAATAGCACGAGTCAAGGTTTTCATTAATCCCTAAATTACTTCCTCAGGAATCCCAATCTCAAATTTAGTTTTAGGAGATTCCTTAAAAAAAAACATAGAACGCACGCGAATTTTTTTCTCCCCTTAAATGATTGAGATTCCAAGAAGTCGCTACCACGAGTGATCCATGTGCTAGTTGACATAAAAAAGACAATAAAAAGCCGACAGGTTATGTGCTAAAAGTCCATCGCTTTTTGCATTTGTCTGAACAGCAGTCCCATGTTGAGATGAAATGGTAACAATAAAATATAAATTTCAACCAAAAAAAAAAAAACGCAAAGTAATCAAACCAAAACAAATTAAGCCTGTACAAGCTGCATGGTGAATTGAGAGAAGCCAAAAGTTTGGAAGCACCAATGACTCAATCCACACATAAAACAAACCAACCACCATTACTCTTTTCCTCCGTTAATTTTACTTACCATACCAGTCATCTCTGCAACAAAAAAGTAATTGACGCCCAAATCGGCCAAAAACTTCCACGGCAATCATGGATTTTAGCAATTGGTGAAAAAAAAAAAAAAAAACAACCGCCTAATGAGAAATCCAAGGGATACCTAAAGTGAAGTCAACTAAACCTCCAATGGGAGTGTTTTGATGGTAGTCTTGCCTAGCAAACAAAACTTACCTGCAATTATATAGCAGCTGCAGTATTGGACCTCCCCAAATGAAAGGAAGCTTGGTCATATTGTAATGAAAATCCGTCAGACAAGATGAAACTCCCCAGAATCCTATAAATAGCTCCGAATAAGTGAATGCCAAAGGATCAACACTTACCCTTTTGATTAAATGGCATCATGACCAATTAATTCATTTAACAAGAGGAAGTTAAAAATGTGGGAAATGATCATGGTAATGGTAGTAAGAATGGATGGACGCATGACTATTGGTGTGATCCCCTCATATCTCCAGATTCTAGCTAAATTGTGACATGGAATGAAAGCAAGCAGTCACCACAAAATGTCATGTCAAATAAGCAGCAGATGAACCTAGAATGAAAAAAATAGTCAAGTTCTCAAGATGCCTATTCAAATAAGCATTCCTAATGCCAATGTACAGAATGTATTATATGACACGGAGCACACAAATCTAACAAAATTCAAACCCATGCATCAGCTCTATAAACTAACATAACCTGAACCTATGAAAGTAATCCAAGCACCAGCACATGCTGCTGAGAAATGCATGTCTGATAATCAAGTCTAACATGGCCAAATGTATGTTTATGATGCCAATATTTGCATTCATTCACATGAGCAGGGATGCTAATGGCGATGACTTGATAATTGATGGATGCATGCAACAGCTGCAAGATGCATCCTATAATGCAGGTGCTCGAAGCAAAAAGAACAGAGTACATCCCCTTCACGCTACTGATAGGGCATAGCTGGTGGAGCTCCATTGGCACTGGGGGCAGCACCAGGGTGGTTGGCATCCTTTCTTTTTCCAAATGGATTCTTTGAATATCTACAAAGAAGTCAAGAGAAGCACAAAGCAATCCTTGCAATTTGCAATGAAACACAAACATGGAAAAGTCAAAACCATTATATTTCAAAATGAGGGCATCAATTTTCTGAATCCACAATAAGATGAAAGTGATGGTGGCAGGAATCATCAATCCAAACTGCTGACACTTGAATGACATGCATCGTAAATAGATCATCAATGAACACCACATGTACAAGAAATTGATAACACGGCCAATATGAGGTGACAGATTACAATTGGCTAGGATCAAAAACCCTCACATTCTGAATCACTGTTATACTTGAAATAAGCACTCTCACATCAAGAAATGCGAAATCACATCATACATGATATAAGTTGAAAAAATACAGTGATTCCGGTGTCAGAAACGCATGGTAAATGTCTTAAAGGGAAACCATCTTAGCAGGCATATAAAGGGAAAAACATCAGACCAAAATCCAATGCTAAAATGTGAAAAAGGATACTGTATTCGCATGCCAACAGAACCAGAACTGGGGATAACAGCTCCCTGCATGCTATGGTGCACGTTGGTTGCACTATTTACATCCTGCAGCAGTATTGTTAATATTCATTTTCGGTTACATATAGCAATACCCCAACATATGATTAATTCTGATGACAATATTACACAACCATGATAAAGTACAAGCTACAGATACAAGTGTTAACGAATAAATTACTGAATAGAAGAAACTGATATGAGCAAGGTTACTGACTTCAAACTCAATGAAGCAAACTGTATGCCTCTCCTGTCTCAAAATCTTCATTTGCTTGAAGCCAGGTTGTCTGCATCAGAAAGTCAAAAGTCAAAACAGTTCACCACTGGAACATAGGGAATAAAAACAATGAACAGCCAACATAAAATCAAGGTATTGAGGACAAGATTATACTTACACACTGAAGAGGCCCCTTAGTTCCTCCTCATTTATATTTTCACCCAAGTTTCCAATAAACAAGGTGTTGCATGGAGGATTATCTTTTGTGTTCTGCACAAGAACACAAACACAAAATAATAATTACACACACAGAATCACATATCTTCAATGGAAAATTTCTTAAATATAACGAAGAAAATTTATTAATAGACATATCAAAACAAAGATAAGCAATTTGAAGGCTATCTGTTTAAAATCTAACATATATCAAGATCAGAACTCAAGTATAACCATCTATGACTTGTGATATTTTCATACTACAACAGGAGCAAATATATTATATTTAAATAATGAAACAGCCTATGTAAAATTGTGTCAAATCTCACATGGAAATAATGAAACACATTTTCCAATATATAGCCTCATAATAGATAACATAATCTGTGTTTCTAGATAGGATCTAGCAATTCCCTAGAGTTCCTTTTAGAACACAAAAGGGAACATTTTTGAGCAATTTGTTTTGAGGGAAGGAATTGAAACGTTCAAGTATCAGCAATCAAGTCTAGCATAGCTAGCAGAATCATTGTCACATTATTTTGAAAGCAAGACACAGTCAAAATTTAGTCAGGGAAGTTTCAAACAATAAGTCAGCTTACCATATAGGAATTAGCCTTTTTACATGGTCATCTTTTACATTTTGGATCTAAAATAACAAAAAGTCTTTAGGAACATATATTTCAATGGTGATTTTCAATTTAATCATATATCAAGAATGACAGATTCTCCAAAATAAGATTCTGACTTATTGTACAAAATGCAGATTAAGTTTGAAAAAGAAACAAATAAAATCATGGATTAGCAACTCAAGCTTCTATTCTCTTTCAAATATCATAATGGAACTCTTCAAAGTCTACACAATGGCACGTCACTGAGCTATCAACAACACAGATAAATCACTTCAACCTCTCAAAACAAAATAGTAAATTTAAATAACTGAGCAAATATCTGGCACTCTTTAAAACAAAAACCAGAAGTGGGAAATATCAGGCATTATATCAAAGTTTACAAACTTTTTTTCACCTGATCTAAACACTGCAAGCCAAGGAGTTATGTAAAGGATAAGGAAACCACATACATGAAATTGGAAGTAAAGATTTCATCAAAAATAATAACACTATAAGTGAAGTAACATTTATATTTCCTGCAACTCCAACCTGAACAGGGACATAGCTGCTAGGGGCTGGTAAAGGAGCAGGAGCAGGCATTGGTATTGGTGCAACAGGATAGCCTCCATACGGATCATATGGAGGAGGTGGAGCCATATATCTGGATCATGAAATAAATAAAGTCTCAGTGTCTCACAACTAAGAACAAAATAATGCAAAATGCCAAAGCCACAAGGTTAGGTGAAATTGTGTATAACTGTTGAATCATTTTAATTTACACATTTCATAGTGAGTAGCCAATAAGAGCATGCATGAACCTATAAAGAGCCATGGATGTTAAAACACTAATTGCTACGTCTGTAAGTGGTATGTCAATAAATATATAAATATATATATATATATATCACCAACAAAAAAGTATGAATATCACAACTCCCAACCACATATCTATCATTGATATGGTAATGCTTTAAAAAAACATCCATATTTTCCTTAAAGCAGATGCTACGTGTAAAACATTTTGGGAGTTAAGATTCAGAAAATGATCATTCCTATCCTGAAAATACAATTTTTCCATCTTGTTAATCAGTTACGCATAATGATTCATCTTTTTTCCACTTTATTTAAACAAGAAAAAATCAGGGTAACAAAATTACATGTGGTACTTACCCATGTGGCCCCCAAACAGGTGCTGGAGGTGCGTGAAAAGGAGAGGGACTTGTATAACCAGTGTGTGTATAATCACCAGCAGTCCTTAATCGTTTGCTTTGATCATACGCACTGGAATCCGCCACTATTCCTAAAAATAATTCAATATAAGTGCATTTAAAAATAAATACTAGCACAAAGGTAGGAAATTCCATAGTAATCACTAATATTTGATGGAGAAATGCTCTGAAGTTAACCGGCTTTGGTGATGGAGAAGGATCCTGGACCAACAGGATGTATATGGGCACAGAATGTCACAGTGATAATCACAGGAGATTAAAAAAGTGAACAAAGTTTTGGTATCTCAAGCCAAGGTTTCCCCAGTGAGAACAATACGAGCAAAAAAGGGGATTAGAAACCAAACATGAAAGAGTAGGAAATAAGATATTATAGGTGACTAAGGGTCGGCCCCAAACTGCCTAGTCACATTTGGAACCAAAATGTAATTTGCATAGATTTTACCCAAAAAAAAAAAATCCTTCAAAAGTTCCACTATATCACTTTCCATTGAAACATTCAGACACACCTACTTTCTGCTATCCTTTCTGTGACAAATTTTCAAGCAAATAAACAAGATTTATGGCATGCATTTCACTTGAGATATAGAAACAGAAATGAAATGAAAACCACCTCTTTTAATGAACAGATTTTTCTTGGCCATTTCTGTATGCAGAACTGACTTTGTCTCTGTATCAAAGACCATGTCCTGAAAAAGAAGGAAACGAAAAAATAAAAATCACACTTCATGGAAACGAGCATATGCCAAATAGCCATTGAGTATATATTCAAAATATCATCTGCAATCTGCAGTGTCAACCTGAAGAATATCTTTAGCCGCAACTGCTTGGTGTGCTGTAGTAAAGAGAGCGAAACCCATAGGTTTATCCCCTTTGAAATTTACTTGCGAAGCTTCGTATCCAGGCAACCATCTCAGAAGATTCAGCAATTCTCTCTCTTTTACATCATCAGGAAGGCCTGTTATGAAAATGGTTCGAACCTGAACACAGACAATTACATCCCGTATTGTCAATTAAAGATCACTATCATTTGCGACACGGAAAATTTAAACTATAAAAATCCATTGAACCACTCTTTTCCTACTGCTTTGGATGGTTAGAGGGGTTAAATTCATGGAATCTTCAAACATAAATTGCTTCAGGGGGTTGAGTATTATAATTTTGATTATCCGCAGAGATCAATGGGTTATATTTTAGGAGGGTGAAATAAAAGAGAACGTACCTCGTCGGAGGGGGGAGGAGGATGAGGATGAGAGAGAGGAGGAGGCGGAGCGGCAGCAGCGGGGGCTGGTGGTGGAGGAGGAGGAGCGGCGGCTGCTGGAGGCCATTGTTGGTGGTACGGATGGATCCCTGCACCGGCCATGTGTGAGCTCGAAGTCCTGTTGGTACCAACAAACCCAACGCGAAGGATGTATGGTACCTTCCAGCCAACTATAATGAACTGTTATATTATTTTGTTAATTTGTTGATATATACACCACCATTTAAAAATACAAAATATTTTTAAAAAAATTAAATATTTAAATTTTTTTAAAAAATATTTTTATTAATAATAATTTTATATTTATTATAAAGTATTTAATATAAATAAATATGAAAAGATAGAGTTAGTTAAAAAGTAAATAATTATTTTATTAAAGGGTGTGATTCAATTAAAAATACATTATTTTTTAATAGAGAGAGTATATATATATATAAATTATTTAAAGAAATTCAATTATTATTATTATTAAAAATTAAATGAACAATTTTATAACATTAAGGAATTAAAATAAAATACTCTCTCTATCTTAAATTATAAGACACTTTTAAATAAAATTTTACATATTAATAAATCTTATTAAATACATCTAACAATCTTATCTTTTTAAAATAAAAATATAAACTTTTTAAAATACTCATCATTTAATATAATAAAACAAAGTGATGAAAATTAATTATGGAGAGAGAAAGAGTAATATTAAAATTAGAATATTTAATAAAACCTTAATTTATTTAAAATATCTTATATTTTGAGATTAAAAAACTCCTTTGAAAGTGTCCTATAATTTGGGATCGAGGAAGTATTATTTAAAATTTAAGGATTAAAGTTACATTTTAATCTTAAAAAAATAATGCAACTTTTTATTTCTTAGTTTTGGGGAGTAATCGACTCAACCTATAAAATTTAATTTTTTATCATTTTGATTATTAATATTATATAAATTTATCCGTAGTCTTTAATCAATAACACATTAGCAATTAGGACAAGAAGATTTGGCTAATGTGTTTTAATTAATTCATGTATATATTCTACATCAACAACCTAATTTACATGTCATTTTTTTAGAAGTTAACTTGTCTTGCAAAACTTATAGGATTATCTTGATAACTCAAAATAAAAATTAAGGATAAAATAGTAGAAATTAAATTTTAAAAATTTAATCAATAACTCCCACAAATATATGAGACTAAAAATTGAATTAGCCCTTATTCAAATATTGATACTTATCTTTTATAAATTATTTATTTTATAACAAATTTTTATTACTAATATTACTAATACATTAAACTTCACATGTCTTAATTTAATTGGATAAAAGTAGATTAATTATATAACTCTAGCCTTTTTTATTATTTTTAATCATTTAAGTATAAATGAATAGTTCTATACCTGTTTTAATTGATAGTTGTCATTTAAATTTTGTCGTACCTTTTTTTCTTGGAAGATTCTAGCATCTGTGGTTGATGACTATGAAGTTTAACTAGGAAAGGAATAGAAACACGGACTGCCATGCTAACTGCCAAGTATGCTTGTTGCTTGCTTCAATTTCTATCCAGTGTCTTTGAATGAGTTGGTTGAATCATATATTCCTTTCAATCCTATATATAAAAAAAAATTAAAAATAATTTTTTAGCCAAAATATAAGACACCTTTAATAATTAAAATACTTTTTTCAATTTTGCTCATTCTTGATTAACGTAAAGGTATTTAATGTACTTATATTATTATTTAAAGCTAAAGGTAAAAAAAATACACCTCGCTTTTTCATAATATCAAAAAAATTAACTTTTTTAATATATATAAAATAGGTAAAAATATTTTATAATAAAAAATGGAGAAAGTATATGTCAAAAAATATAGTAGGTATGCAGGGGTGGTGAAGTCCCTCACAGGCATTGGTCTATAAATGGTGAGTTCACCATGAGATCCAAGGTATCTGACCTTGGGACTAATTGAGGCTTCTCATGGCTTTGGAAGTTTAGGCCTTGTTTGGTATGAAGGATTGAAGGAGTGGGACTAGAATTAAGACTGAGTAATCCCATGTTTTTATGTTTGGTAGGAGGGATTAAAAGTTTAATACCAAACCCAATCCTATTTAGATGGGATTATCCAGTACTACCTTCTACCTGATATTGAAAAATCAATCCTAGGATTGATTTTTTCTGATCAAATTACTTGTTCTCTCACTCTCCTCTCTCTCTCTCTCTCTCTCTGCCCCCTCATCGTCCCCTGCCTTCTCGTCTCTCTCCCGATCCTCTCGCCATCTTGTCCCTCCCCCGCCCTCTCGCCTCTCTTCCCTAACCAAATAACCTCCCTTGCATCTACGACATTTAATGGGTTAGAGCTTAAGTTTGAGTTTATCCATTAGTCTTCCTCCCTTTCCTTTCTCTTCAGATCTAGATGTAGATCGCGTCTTTGCATTTTGAGTTCAAGTTTTATTCATTTGCCTTCCTCCCTTCCCCTTCTCTTCAGATCTAGATGTAGATCGCGTCTTCATCGTTTTTGGATCATGAGCAGTGTGGCAAAAGCAAGGGCAGGCAAAAATGGAGCCTCCCTCCTCGACGGAGATAGAGACAGAGGGAGTTTGAGTATTGGCTTGATCTGTTCATATTCCTCGCCCCTTGAAATTGTTTGCAGATTTTGCTAGATTTTTAATCTGTGCTTCATAAATTTTTAGGTGGTGGTTATTTGTTTGTTTACAACTTTTTCAAATTGCAACAAAGTAAAGTACTTTGTAGCCGATGCAAGGAGTAATGATTTAGGAATGGCCGGAAGATTTGAGTGGAAGGAAGATGAGGACATTTGTGTCTTTCTTGCAATTTTTTTGGTTCAATCCCAAACTTCTTTTTTTAATCCCTTAGTGTACCAAACAACATTTTAAAATTTATTTTTACTTCCAATCTCATTCTCAATCTCAATCTTAATACTATTTTCAATCTTTTAAAATGTGAGGCTTTATACCAAACGGGCCTTAAAGTCTTGTGATAGTGGAGACCATTCTTATGGCTTTGCATTCGTGACACTACTTACCAACGACCACAGCCATGCACGTGGTTGATGATTGTCTTGTACGCGCGGGGTTCCTGGGCTTGTTATTAAAAGATATATATTTAATATAAATAAAATTAAAAACTTATAAAATTATTTGACAAAATTAATAAATTTTAAAATTTTTCTTAAACTTCATTCATTTTTAAATATAAGAAGAAAAAATAAATTCATACAAAGTTAATTAAATATAATAATTGCATTTAAAATTAAAAAAATAAACTAAATTATCCTAATAATTAATAAAATAAATTTGTCTAGCGAAAATAAACATTAATTTTATAAAAGATAATTTGAAAAAAAATATAATAAATGCTTCTTAAAATATATAGTTTTACTTAAAAATAATAAACAAAGATATTCAAAAATGGAGAGAATAACTCATAAATAGAACGAATGAGTTTTTTTTTTTTCCCTTGGTTACAAACTAAAGAGTATTTTGTGTTACCCATGCTTTCTGAACCAGCCACCAGGAACCTCAAGCACACACAAGTGGACAACCCAACCCAATTTTTAATATTCTAAAAATGTATATTATCCTTTTGCTTTGCCTATGGTACAGTGTACTATTTTTGTTACCCATACTGCCAGACACTTATCCACACACCTCGTTTCTAAAATCTTAGAAGTTTAATAGTTCTTGATGGCCTCAAACACCCAAGTCTATGCTAATCAACATCAAACAGGTGACTTGTATCTACGCAACCATAATGACGTGAATTATCACGGAATGGTAAAAACGAAAATTACCAGGATGTGTGAAGTACATAAAGTGACAGAAAGGATCAATGCATTTAAAGCTATGAAAAGAAGTAGAACATAAGTCCTCAACAAAAACAAAAACAAGAAGCTGGCTTTGGCAAAACTTGATGCAGCGACCATGAGAAGTGAAGGCTGTTTTTTTATTTAGGGTACACCTAGTTTTATTCTCGACTCACCCATTCCATGACCACATTTAAGAAAAACAAATAGAAAAACCGTATTATGCAAGCCATAAGTATCTGCTATTGCTAAAGCTTAAGAAACACAAACTCTTCGATGGCAGGCACTGATCCAATCTTGTTAAGAGCCTCCTTGTTTGGTTCTTCGTCCACACCAATAGCCATGATAGCTTGTTTCCCCCTAGAAGTTCTTCCCACACTCATGAAGCTGACATTAACGTTATGCTCCCCGAGAATGCTCCCGACAGTGCCAATCATCCCAGGTTGATCTTGCTGGCGACACAGTATAAGGTTGCCTTCTAAGCTCACATCAGTACCAAATGAGCCCACACATGTCAAATGGGGTACTCCAGACTTAATTCTCCCCTCGATGCTAATCTCACCATTCTCTTTCACAGCACTTGCAAATTTGGAATCCACATTGGATAATTGAACTTGAATTGAATGAACAGGGAATTCTTGGGATGAGTCAGCGACTATACGTTCCTCGCTTATGCGGAGGCCTTTCTGTTTGGCAGTGAAATCAGCATTCACAAGGTTGATATATGAGTTTGATATTGGCTCAATTATGCCTTTAGTGATCATGGCTCGTAGAAGCCGAGTGTCCAAGTCATCTGGGTCCCTTGCCGATTGATAAGTCACTTTTACTGATTTGATCCCACTTCCTCCAGACACCAACTGGACAGCTAGCCTTCCCAGCTTCTCAGCCAGCACAACATATGGAGCCAGCTCTGACAGAACCTGATCACAACAAGGTTAGAAGACTCATGTATGAATTGGTTGTAATAAGTCTTAGGTTGTGTCTGTGTCATGATTTTGTGTTTTTTCTTTACCTCTGGAGCAACCATGGGAGCATTGACAGCAGTCGCTGAAAGTTCCCCCTTCAATGCCCCAAGCACGGCCTCAGCTATTTCAATGGCTACACCTTCCTGTTCACTCAAATGTCGATTCAGAGTTTCAGAACCACACTTAAATGAAAGGTTGGTTCTTAAAGTTAAAAGAAGTTTACAAGTGTACAAGGGGGAAAAAAACCTGAGCCTCTTTTGTGCTCGCTCCAAGATGAGGCGTGACTGTCACATTTTCATGTTGCACCAACTTGCTGTCTTTGGACGGAGGCTCCTCAGTGAATACATCAAGTGCAGCCTGTTCCATACACAATTGTTAGAAGGATACACATGTTGCAAGTATATGAAAAAATAGAAACTGTCAAAATACAATATCTATTATTTGATGCAAGTGTTAAAATAAACCACCCCCACCAATGATATCAAAAGCAACAAGAAGTTTTATCTCCATAAATAAGGTTAGCTACATGGAATAAAGAATGCTATATACAAATAACTAACTTTTTATTCTAATAAGTGCTGGTTCAATTGGTATAATTATGCTACTTTAACTAATAGTTTCGTATTTGAACATGTAGTATCAGCGGCGGACTCATGTTATATGTGGGTGGGGCCCTGGCCCCCCGAACTTCTTTTTTTCTTTTTTTTTTTTTTTAATACATAGGTATAGGTATTAGCTGTTAAGACTTGCATAGCACATCACCACTTTTCCACACTGATGGCCAAAGAAAAATTTCCTTCTCACAACATATCCCCATTGAATGCTTGCGAAATTCCAGCAATAAAAGTATATGTTCTCAACTATTAAAGTATAAATTTACATATTTAAATCCTAATTAATCGAAAGCACAATCAGCTTTTCCATTAAAATAGATAATAGAAAGGCATCAACCTTCGGAGCCTCAAAGGAGATGCCTGTGTATAAGAGAATAGGGGAATGGTTCATTGATTCTCTTCCATAATCATTCACAGTAAGCTTTATCTGGTGGTCAAAATTATACTTCCTCCAATTTAAAATGTAAGCATTTTCTCTCAACTAATCTTAGTCCAAAATATAAACAACTTAGTATTTGTAAAAAAAAAACAATTCACTTTACCTCTTATATTTGCAAACCTGAATTCTTGTGAATGTGAATTTATAACCTTTTTCTCAGTCATCATAAATTAAAAATAAGGATAAAATAAAAAAAATAATATATATTTTTATGACAAAAGATGCTTATATTTTAGACCGGAAAAAGTATCTTTTAAGATAAAGAAAAGGGAAGCAAAGAACAAGAAAGGGGGATGCATGTGAAGTGAGGCGCTTTGGCCCCTCAGAAGTCAAAGCTAGATCCGCCCCTGTGTAGCGTACAATTGTATTAAAAACTGAAGAGTTTCACTATCCTTATGGTCCTATCTGATTCAACGTGAATCAGTCAGAATCCAATATGACTTCTAAATAGTAATTGATTTGATGCCAAAAAGAGCCCTCACTTTTCAATATATCATTCACTAAAATCTCATTTTGTGACTCAAGTGTTCCTTTTGCTCCACCTCTACCAATATTAAAACATAGAACAAACAAAAATTGAAGACGGGATATGCATACATACCTGAGCAACAATTCCACTGTCAAGAGCTCTTACCAGTGCATCTTCGTCGATAACACCACCTCTAGCGACGTTGATGATGCGTACTCCCTTCTTCATCTTCGCAAAAGAGTCGTCATTGAAGATCTTATTGGTGGATGGAGTGAGTGGCATATGAAGGGAAATAAAGTCAGCACTAGAGATGGCATCATCAAATGGAACCAAATCCACACCAATGGCACGTGCCCTATCAGCTGGGGCATATGGGTCATGAGCCACCACGTGCATGCCCAGCCCTTTTGCTCTCCTTGCCACTTCAGATCCCACTTTTCCAAATCCCAAAATTGCCAGTGTCTTCCCCACCATTGAAACTCCAACATACTTGTTTCTTTGCCATTTTCCTGGAAAATGAAACTTGAATTTTTCACCTCTAGTCTCTTGGAATAATCAGATTCTCTGATCTATATATCAAGACCTCTCCTTGCCAATTTAAGCATCTCCATAGAGAGTAACAACAACTAATGTCAAAATCCTCGTATCCAAGAACAATAGATCCGCAGATATTAATGCTAAAATATTTTAGGGAACATTGGAATTTAAAGACCTATTGAAAAATATATTTGGGGAAAAGAACCTAAACAAAATATATGATTGATCTTTTATGATGCATTTTTTCTTTAATATTCGGCCATCAATGTCTTTTTCCCCAAATATGCTTTTGAATCGGTGTTTAATCCCAATTCCCAAAAATTTTTCCAGATCCAGCGTTTGGTTCCCAGGAAAATTGAGAAGTTGAAGTTGTCGGGCATCAAAATTAGTGCACAGTAATCGTTATTCATGTTTGAATGCAATTATTTTAGTCAAAAAAAATTAGTGCACAGTAATTTTAAAAAATATATATAATATGGTGTCTGATACTGAACACTGAAGCAAAATGTTACCCGCTTTCATGGAAGCGTCGGCCTGTGCAACATTTCTGGCCATGGCGGTGAGGAGAGCGATGCCGTGCTCGGCGGCGGCGATGGTGTTGGCGGTGGGAGCGTTAACGACGAGGCAACCGAACTCAGTGGCAGCTTGCAGATCGACATTGTCGATCCCCACACCAGCTCTTCCCACAACCTTCAACCTTCCCTTTCCCGCTTCGAACACTTGCCTTGTAACCTTCGTCCCGCTTCTCACAATCAAAGCGTCGCACGATGCGATCTTCGAGCACAGTTCTTCAGGGGAGAGATCGTAGGCGCATTCCACTTGTCCGAACTCCCGCAAAACTTGGAGCCCCGCCTCTCCGAGCTTCTCGGTAATCAAGACGGTGGGTTTCGGACCCAAAGACGACGACGAAGAAGAAGAATAAGATTTCAGATCCTCAGAGATAGAAGCAGAGGATGTGTGTGCTGTCTTCAAGGCATTATTGACGAAGGAGGAAAGTGGAGAATGAGATCGCGAAAGAGAGAGGTTGAGCTTGTTGAAGCTGTCGGCGTTCAGAAAGCAAAGGACAGAGGATTTTGAAGGCGAAGAAGGTGACGAAGTGAAAGCAGAAGGAAAGGGTGGTTTGATTGAAGAAGCAGAGGAGGAAGCCATAGCTCAGATTTCTTGATCTCTGTGTGAGAGAGAGATGTTATTATATGTACATATATACACATACACCCACACACCAAGAAACTTCGATTTTCTTCGGTTAATTTGAATGTTCGATGACGGGATCATAAAATGCATCCATTCAACTCAATTCACGAGGGGGTGTCCAGAATAATCACACATTATGAGATAAACAATTTTACAATTAAAATTTATTGCGCTGAAATGAGGAATCTATTCTATTCATCTAATCATTTCAGAACAAGAAGGGAATTTAAATTTCTTGCCTTGTTTATTTTTAGGGCAAATCATAAAAAATTTTAACCCGAAATTAGCTTCATTCGTGTGGCTTAAAAGTTTAAACCTAAATTCACATTTACTTTGTTATTGTTTGGCTGCCATATAAAGAGTTTGGAATTAAATTATAGGGGAAATCAACCTGATGGTGCTCATCTTGATGAGATCTAGATCATTTAAATTTTAATATGGATAGTTCAGATCTAAAATATTATTATATATTTTTTATTTTTTTTATTTATAAAAATTATAAAATAATTTTAATAAATTTTTTAATTTTCAATCTGATCTAAATTTAACTTAAGAGGTTCAATTTAATATTAAAATATTTATAATTATTATATATTAATTATTCAAATGTATTTTGTATATTATTCAAATTATCTGAATTGTACAGGTCTTATCACACCGATGAGTATCATCGTGCTCATCAGCGTGATGATCACTTAAGTTAGGTCCAAATTAACCATACTTTATTCTTGTCTTATGTTACATCTGTAATCAATGTTCCAAGAACCCAACATATCTGAATGGTTGAATCAATTAGATCATAAAACTAGCCTCACTAATGGTTTGATTTAAACCCAAAAAAAAAAAAAAGCCATTTTCATGGAGTTAAGTTGCATGAGAGTTGACACAATATGGAGTAAGAACCTATAACAAATTTTAGAAAATCAAACAAATTTAAACCTAATGATGTTGAACGTTATGATATAAATGCAAATATTTTTGAACCTATTCCTACTAAAATTAATGAAGATTCATTCATGCTTGTCAAGTTATAAAATAATAAGTATTCTGTTATTAATTTATAGTTATGCTGTATTATTTTATTAATAAATAGACATATTGTTGATTTCATGATTTATATATATATATATATTATGCATTTAGTAGTATTTTTATTTAATTATTATGCCATCTACTCTCTTTAGTTCTATTTATAAATTACTTCCAACATTTTTACCGTAATCAAGAAAAACTTTAAATCTTATTAACTCTATCTAAAAAGTAAACAAGTTTTTAACTTTACCCCTATTAAATATATCTATTTAAAAAAAATACTCTAACATTTAATAAACTTCCTTACAATTAATAGGGGCAAAATTGTAAAGATGAATATAATAATAACTAAGGTGCCTTATAAATAGGATTAAAACAAATATTTTCTTTCTACCATGTAAATAGGATTATAGGAGTATTTGACTATTAATTTAACCGGTTGGATTATAAAAATCAAGATTCACTAACTTTTATGGTTTGACATTTGGCTTGGCTTTTAAAACATTGTAGTATGTAATTAGATCTGCTAAGTATATACTCCCTTGTTTTTACATATAAAAAGAAAAAAATAATATCACACAATTTAAAAAAGTCAACTAATCATAATAATTATGTTCAAAAATAAAAAAATTAGACTAAAATATCCTATATTAATTAACATAAGTATACATTAATTATTTTTTATTAATGTAAATTATAAGGGGTGATTTAAAAAATGTGTAATAAATGCTTATTGAAATATGTGATTTTGTTTATATAAAAAAAAGTAAAAAATTGTAATTTCTCTTATAAACAGAAATGGAGTAATTGTAACACCCTTAAATTTACAAACCGATTTTTCACAAATTATTAATTCAACAAATTATTATTATTTTTTCCATTGAACCCTTATCATACCCTTATCATGGTAGAAAAATTTCTACCATGATACATCCAAGACAATATATCACAGGTCTTAAAATATCTCAAAAAAGCAATTAGAACCATGAGGGACAGACAGGATCCTCATGTCATGATATTCAAATCAGATCATAAATCAAGAGGGACAGACATAATCCTCTTGGTCATATAAATACTTTTAATAAAAAGGATTAGAGTTTACATGCTTCACAAAAAAGATATGTCTTAAGTTGGCACAAGATACATTGTATAATCTAAAATAAGAGGCAACGTAAAAGATGGTGTCTCACACACCATAGTTACACCTCTGGTGCTTTCTCGGCCGGACTCGCTCCTGTAAAAATATTAACCATGGGGAATGAGACTTAAAAGTCCCAGTAACCAGAAATTAATATGTAATGATGCATGCGGATGTAACTAATCATGCGATTGCTAAGTGGGCACACAAAACATTTAATCGAACAATACTTTCAAACAAACCGAACAAGTATTTAATTTGCATGACTGCACCTTATATCCTCCTTTCGCCATGCTCGGATGCCAAATCACCCGGCCAAAGGTGAGTTGGACCAAGCGACACGCCACTCATTGGGTCCAATGAGGGCTTACCACGTGGTAATAATTAACCGAACAGAAATTCCCGTTAACACCATATATTAAAATACCTTGACAAGTCATGCATCATTTAAATATCCAAACAGGAATATATCCGAACAATAATATCTCATCATGATAAACAAAAATAAATTTTTTGACCCACTTGGCAATAATTTCAAACAAGTATATATATACAGTATTTATTTTTATTAATTCATAATTTTTTCAAACAATAAAACAACACATAACCATTCACAAACACACCCATCACAACACATTAATAATGGTTACCTTGTGTCTTGAATAACAAGTTCCCCTTCACAACTCCTTTTTCACCACTATCTTTGTGAATATAATCTACATAATCATTTCACAATACTACATATTAATTTTACATTAAAATAAATAACTCTAATTTAAATAGTTAGAAAGTCTTAGATCTATAATCCATATTAACACTAATTTAAGATTTATGCCTCATTTAACTTTCCAAATTCTTTTCTAAAATTCTCGTACCTTAATAAACTATTTTTTTATCCTCAAATCACTTCTAGTATCACAATTTCATCCTTCTATATTCTAAAAATTCGTCCAAAAATAAATTAAAAATTTTAAAATTATCCTGAAGCCTCAAATCACCTTTCTATAACCTCAAAAATACCTATTTATACTTAAATAAATATTTAATAATCATAGGTTTATCCTTACATCTCAGATTCCACATAAATTCAACCATATAGATCTAGATTTTAACTCAAAAATTCTTAAACATGAGTTTCAACCTCAAGAAAATATTCTATAATATTTATTATATCCCTAAGAGTTTTAACCTATATTTTTAATCCATCATATCATCAGATTAACTATCCTATAGAAAAATCCTAATCGAAATATTTACTCTATCCTACAAAATAATCATATCACTAGAAAGCTAATATTATTTAGAAAATAACTATAAAATTAATTTTGTAATTAAATAAATTTTTAAATGCTAATCTAAACAGGAAAGTTAGAACATACCTGAAGAAAAAGAAAATAATCCCCCCTTGCGAGAAAACGCCGAGCAACGTGAGAGAAAGAGAGAAAAATAATATAAAAATGGGATTGTGAGTCCCAAAATTATATTAAAAAAAACTATAGGTCTGAATTTAATTATTCAAATCTTTAGGCCATAAGTTACAATTTCCTCTAAATTGCATCTTAGCCTCTCATGCTTCCTAATGCACACACCCCCCTCCTTTTTATACATGAAGGCACCTCTTCTCTTCCCTCATCTAACCAATGTGGGACTTAGAAACAACAACCTTCCTCCCCCCATTTTTTTGTTCCTTCTACCTTCTCTTTTTTTTTAACACACACATAAAAAAATTATTTATGTATTATATCTTAACTAAATATTGCTTATGTGATTTTAAATTTAAATTTTTAAATTCATAATTAAATACCTAACCATAATATTATTTCTAAATAACTTCAAATAATATAAATTCCTATTATTATCATTTTTTCCTCAAAACCTAAATTCCACAATTTCTTTATTATATAAAAATTAGGATGTTACAATTCTCCCCTCCTTTTAGAAATTTTGTCCTCAAGATTTAATAGATAAACTTAGAAACTATGTACCTAAGCAAATAAATGTGGATAATCTTGCCTCATACTCTCCTCAGTCTCCCAAGTAGCATCACCTAGAGCTCCACCCTTTCAAATCACCTTCACGAGTCGGATGGTCTTATTGCGCAGTTGTTTGTCCCTGAAGTCCTTAATTCGCTCCGGTTCGGATCTAAAGGTCAAATTCTCCCTCAATTCCACTTCTTCAGGTTCAATAACATGGGAGGGATCTGGGTTGTACTTCTTTAGCTGTGATATGTGGAACACATTATAGATACCTGCAATCTGTGGAGGCAATGCAACTCTATATGCAGTAGATCCAAGTCACTCCAAGATCTCATACGGGCCCATAAATCTAGGTGTCAACTTTTTTGCCTTAATGGATCTACCAATGCCTGTCGCCAGAGAAACCTTCAAAAATACATGATCTCCTACTTCAAACTCTAACGGCCGTCTCCTCTTATCAGCATAGCTCTTCTGTCGGCTCTGAGCAGTTAGCAATTTTTGCTTAATCATTGCAATCTTCTGGGTGGTCTGCTCTACAATTTCTAGACCAATGATACTCCTCTCACTTAATTCTGTCCAACACAAAGGCGATCTACACTTCCTTCCATACAAGGCCTCATAAGGCGCCATCCCAATACTAGAATGATAGCTGTTATTATGAGCAAATTCAGCTAATGGCAAATGATTATCCCAACTACCTGGTAGTTCAATGGCACAAGCTCTCAACATGTCCTCCAAAGTTTGAATCGTCCTCTCTGTTTGTCCATCTGTTTGGTGGTATGCGGTGCTAAAACTTAGTCTGGTACCCATAGCCTTCTATAGCGCACCCTAAAAGTTTGAAGTGAACCTTGGGTCACGATCTGACACAATTCTAGAGGGTATACCATGAAGTCTAACTATCTCCTTAATGTATATATCAGC